AAGTTGGACAAAACAGTAGAGAACAAGACCAATAAAACTTAGACATTGTTCTCTGTCACCTTTTAATATTCTCTTCTTGTGTTGAATTGCTGGATCTTGACTATTGTATGCCTTGGTGTACTTTTTTTTTATCATGGCTGATTAGAGTTCTATATGCCTCATCTGTATGACACATTCTTTTTCCCTGCTTGGGAAGTTTCCTGCCATTATATCTGTGAACAGGTTTTTTTATGTCATTTGCACTATCTCATTTTCATTGGCTCCAGTCAATCTTATGTTGTTCTTTTTTGCATCATCTGGCAGTTGTTGGATCGATTTTTTTGTTGCTATTGGATTGGTTTTTTTGGCCCCTTGCTATTTTAAAGATATCTTTTTTTTCATGATTATTAACCACAAGCCTGTCTTCTAGATCTCATATTGGCTCATTCTGCTGCTTATACTTTAATTGTTTTAATCTGGATTTCTGTTTGAATCTGTCTCTTTCCTACGTTGGGTGTTCATGGTTTCCGTTCTGTATCTGACCTACAGTTCTTAACCATGTCTTTCACTATTATCATCATCTCTGTGGTTATCTGAGAGATTATTTCTGATCTGATTTCTTCTAGAGCCTCACTCATCTGCTTTGTTACTTCTGTTAGTACCACTTCAGAGAGTCCAAATGAGTGGGTTTTAAACTGTCCCACCTCACTGACCCCTAGGTTTGCCTTTTGTGAGCTGGGAGTCTGGGGTTGCGTCTTATTGAAGAGTCTTCTCATTTTTTTTTCTGGTACCAGGGATCGAACTCACCACTGCCTCTTGCAAAGCAGGTGCTTATGCTGCTGAGCTAAATCCCCAGCCCCTCATTTTCTACTTTTTTAAAGTTTAATTCCTAGGTTGATACTTGTAAACTGCTCATGGTGAGTAGTTTAATTGTTAGTATTTAGAACCCTAAGGAAATGACTATTTCTCAGAGATGTCTTCCAGGTGTAGCTGGCTGTTGCAAGATCCTTCTTCTTCAATTTATTGGAGATGAGAAGTCCCTGCCTGTTGGGCCCATCCCCTGGTTCTCTGGCACTGGCCTAGAGTGTTATTTATGACCCTTAGGCAATCTCAGCCTTGGTATACCGGGAATAACAGCTGATTAGCACACTGTGTACCCTTGCCTAAAATGGTACAATCATCAATAACAACAGCATCAAACACAGCCTAGAAAATGGCAAACTGGTAACTGTTAATTTACCACTTTTGACAGTATGAATCAGATTTGTGGTTATATAACAAAATCTAAACCAAACCAGCAAACAAGCCCTCAGTATGACAATTTTACTCTCGGCGAGAAAATTTAAAAGGAGTTAGAGGGAAAAATAGAAGAAGAGGAAGATTTTAGAAGCAAGACACAAGGACAAAGGAAAGTTATGCAAACTTTGGGAAATGTAAAGAAGAGGAAAGAGAGAAGGAAGAAATGAAAACAAGAACAGAACAACAACAAAAGAACTAGACACCATGTTTACACTCAAAGCAAGAACAATCAAGAAACAACAAAACAAAAATAAGAAGAGAAAGTAAGTATTCACTTCATGTCTTTGCTGTCACTGGTAGACAACAAGATCCAAGTTGACTGAGCCTAGCAAGCCAGCTGTGGACTTACAGCAGGGTGGTGGATAATCCCAGACCTGTTCAGCCCCTGACACTCTGGTGCTCCTGCCAGTTTGAACTCAGCAGCCTCACCCTGACACTGGGAGCTGCTAGATGGAGCCAGCCTCCAGCTGCTCTGAGTTCTGAGCTCAACTGGTCCCTGTCAAAGATGGCTACTGGCCAGTCACCCTCTCCTGGGGGATGTCTGAACCCAAATAACTCACCAGCCACTTCAGTCTACTGCATCCACTACTCCATTCCACTGATGTATTTCTCTGTGGAGGCCTCTGGGGTCCCCAGCTGTCACTGTGCACCTTCAATTTCAAGCTTCCCCTCCCACATGGTGAGTCAGGGTTCAGAGAGAAAGCACCGGTTGCCACCTCCTTCTTCTTGTTGAAGTCTCTCACTTTGTTCCCCATCATAGGCTTCAATTCTCACTTCGGATCCTTGCTGAGTCCTGGGGACCCACTTTCCTCCTTCTTGTCTTCCTCACATGGCTGTATCCCAGCATCTGGACACCAAATCTCAGAGAGTCACTTTATCGTTGGTCCCCACTCCAATCTTCCCAGAAATCTCTGCCACTTCCCGAAAAGCTCCTGGCAGTGCTCTTTCCTGAGTGTCTTTAGTTATGCTGATGCGATCTGCTTCAATATTCTGAATAGTTAAAAACATTTTCCTTTCCTGATCATTTTGACTTTGAAGAAGAGCTGGAGGTCACCCAGAACCAGATCTGGTGAATAGGGGAAGGTACACTGTCGTGTTTTTATTTCATAGAAATGATTGTAAATGTTTGCTCACGTGATAATAATAAAATATGGTGTTTAAATTAAAAGTTAATGCCTTCACCAATACTCAAAACAGTCCCTCTTGCTTCGAATACATTTATTCCATTGTTCTTGGCAAGGTGCCTTTCACTGTAATAAGTTTTTTAAAAAATTGTAACATTCACTGTATCTTTAAGTCACCTCGTATATAATACATGATATGCCAGGCACAGTGCGGAGCTTTTAATATACATTAACTTATTTATTTACTCTTTACAACCACCCTGTGAAGGGGACTCTGCTTCTGGGGCACACGGAGGTTCAGGAATTTTCTAAGAGTCACAGAGAAAGTGCACAGCAGAGCTGAGGTTTAAACCCATGCAGCTTTGGCTGCAAAGTCTCCACATTCAGCTACTCTACTGTGCTTTTAGGGGCAAGGAGGATGCCATCCCTGTCCTCCTGGAGCAGAAGGTATGTGGGCAAGTGTAGGGAAGCCACTGTAAATGTGGTGATTTATGCCATGCTGCAGGGAGATGAGCCCGGGAGATCACTGTTGAAGCTGCAGTTTGGAAGATAAGTAGGAATCAGGTAGCAAAAATGGGGGTGATGGTTCTCCAGGCAGAGGCAACAGCAGGTGTAAATGCCCTGGGGCAGGACTTGGGTAATCCTAGCAATAGGAAGAGGGGTGTCCAGCTCTCCTGTGTACTGGGAGCTTCTGAAAAAAATCTTTCCTCTTTCTTTAAAGGAAATATTTTTTAGTGGCCTTTTTCTTTTTGATTTGGATATTGAAGTGTGACATTTTGCACTCTGGCAGCTATTTTGTGATCATGAGACAATGTGGAAGCCAACAGGTTAAATATAATAAAAAGAAACCAGTGAAAAAGTCTATGTCTTTGACAAAATTGTTTAATAGCTGCAACAGCTCTGGGAAAAAACATTTTTTTTTTTTGAGACAGTCACTGTGTCACTTCAGGCTGATCTTCAACACAAGGCAACCCTCCTGCCTCAGCCTCTTGAGTGCTGGGATTACAGATGTGCACCACTATGCCTAGCTAGCTCTGGATATGTTTACCTTCAAAATTTTTGTTAAATGATACTTTAATCTATAACATATTTTGATATTGTGTTTTTTGTTACTTGCAGCTGAAAAATTCTAAATCATTGTGCATGACAGGGTTAGGGGGTTGAGAGACTCATCAAATGCCCACATTTGACAGAAGAGGAGACCAAGACTCAGACAGACAAAGCAGAAGTCCTAAGCTCACTGGGCAAGCCACTGGCACACCAAACTCCTGCCTCCCTCATCTGAAAGGGACCTCAGGATGTCTTGTTTGCATTTAGTGGTGGTCAGCCAATTCCCACAGTGCAGAAGGATACAAAAATCAACACAAAAATTAATGGCATGCATGTATATCAGCAATGAACTCCAGGAGTAGGAAACTGGGAAAACAGTACCATTGACAAGAGCATCAAGAAAAATTAAACATCTGGGAATTAACCCAACCAAGGAAGCCAAAGACCTCTACTGCGAAAACTCTAAAAAAGAAGACTGAAGAGGATGTCAGAAAACGGGAGAGATGTCCCCTGGCCCTGGAGACACGGAACCAAAGTTGTAAAAATGGCCATACTCCAAAACTCATACACTGATTAGACACAACCCCCAGATCAAAATACCAACAGTATTCCTTGCAGAAATAGAGAAAGCAATCCTGAAATTCATGTGGAAGCAAAGAGACCCAGACTAGCAAAAGCAACCCGGGCAATAGATGCAAAGCAGGACGCACTCCCTGATCTGAAGTTGTATCACAAACCTACGGTGATAAGCATAGCACGGTACTGACATAAACTGAGACCAGGGGTCACCAGGACAGGCCGGAGGATGGAAACAGACCCACGTACAATCAGCTATTGAATCTTTGACCAAGAAATGCCGCGGAGGAGAGAAAGAAGAGACGGGAGAGAGATGGGCAAACTGGCCATCCGTGTGCAGTGGACTGAAGCTGGGCCCATGACTCTCACCGTGTACTAAGCTAAAATCAAAATGGACCTGAGATCTAAATTTAAAACAGAACCACTTAAGCTGATGGAAGACCAGACAGGTAAAACTCTTGAAGACATAGACAAGGACTTTGTGAAACAGAACTTCATGACCACAAGGCCACTCCCACCCAAGCACGCAGTAAAAGGGACTCAAAGAGACCACGTGACTGCACGACTCTCCAAAACAAACTCGGGTGTATTTAGACCCAACACTTTCGCTTGATGGAGGAACACCAAACAGGCCTGCAAAGTTTACCCAGCCTCTGGGGGTGGGTGGGCCATCAGCTGGGGCTCGGCAATCTGCTGCACGCCCTCTGTCGAGTTTCCAGAGCTCTCTGCAATCTGGGGCGCCCGGGGGTCTCAAGTCTGAACCCGGAGACCCCAAGAAGGAAGGGAAGCTATTTGGGTTTAAACCGTTCCCAGACCCGGAGGCTCTCAGCGCCCGAGGCTGGAGGGGAGGGACGCGCTCCGGGACACAGCTGAGCCAACAGCTGGAAGAGATTGATTGAGAGACAGTTCCTCCGGCCGGTGATTTATGAGGAGACGTGGTCGCCGCCGAGGTGCGCGGGCTGGGGATGGGGCGAGCGCAGGCGCCGCTGGGTGCGCCCCCTCCCGGGGGGCCCGGGAGCACTGGGGAGCTCGGGCTGGTGACCCCGGCGTCCGTCACGCGATGTGGGTCCCTTGCGCACCCACCCGCAGTGTCCGTAGTGCTCTGTGCCGCCCAGCCGGGGCTCAGGCTGGGCGTCCGGCTTGCACCAAGTGCATGAGGCGCACACGCATTTGAGTCACTGGCTGCCACTTCTTCTCTCTTTTACTTAGTTCTTTTGCAGGGGCTCAGTGGATTCTCCTTACTTTGGCGTACATAGTCGTGATTTCTTGGGGATTTCCTGGTAACTGTTTATTCCTCAGATCCCATCTGTAAAACAGGGGAAAGCAGGTCCTCTTTCCTAGTTTCACAGGGCTTTGCCAAGATCAGGATCAAGATGGGGTGGCGCATGCCTGTAATCCCAGCACTGGGGAGACTGAGGCAGAATAGCTATGAGTGCGAGACCTGTCTGAACGACAAAGCCTGAACAACATAGGACGCTCAGTCATAAACAAAACAAAGCAAAAACAAACAAAAACATAATATTACTTTAATGCTTAACGTTAAGGATGTGGTGCTGATCCCAGCATTCGGGAGGTTGGAGCAGGAGGATCATGAGTTTAAGGCCAGCCTGGGCTGCAAAGTGAAACCATGCTGACCCTGCTAAGCCTCCCAAAAGATCAAGATTCTTTGAGTGCAGTGGGCGTGGTTTGAAATCTTGGCTCCACCCCTTACTAGCTGTGTAACTTTGAGAAAGCAACTTAGCTTCTGGGAATTAGTTTCTGCTTGGTCAGCTGTGAAGTAAATGATAGCTGACTCTTCTTGGTATAAGAGATGAATCTGATGCTGCAGGGAAGGTGCTTACCTTGGGCCAGTTCATCTCGTAAAGGAGGCAAGCGTGAGTAAAGATGGCTGATGGTAACAAGGATACATAAAATTCAAGCACCAGAAGGTTTGCAGCCAGATGCCCGGTTGTTATCCTGATGACACTCCTGTAGGGCAGCTGGAGGACACAGCTTGAATAAATAAACCCATTTTCAGCTTCTATCGTCCAGAGACCACGTCCCTGGGTAGTTCATGTGTGTCTCATCATAGGTCCGTGGAAGACACTTGAATAAACAAGTGGATGATAAGGGCGCCCCGTGGAGTCAGCAGAATGGGAGGTGTGGGTGACCCTCAAAGAGTGATCAGAGAGCCCTTTTCTGGAGTGATCCAGGGCAGAATTCCGGAAGGCTGTGGCCTGAGAGCTGAGCTTGCGAGGACACTAGCTAAGTTCAGCAGGCTTCTCTTTGGCTTCTCGATTATGGGGAGTTTCCAAGTTGCTAGGATAGAGGAAGAGAAGGCCCCTAAGTTATCTTGGCTGATTGGATCAGTCCCTAGAAATACACTCATTCCATCCTGAGCAGCATGGAAAGTTGTAAACTGGGGCCACTGCAGTAGCTCTTGTAGTTTTTTTTTTGTTGTTGTTGTTGGCCTGTTTATCCCTCTTTTTAGGATATTTTCCCTTCGGAGAATCACTGACTGTCGGCACTATATGCTAGGTGGAGTTGGCCCCTTTTTTCTAGCTCCCAGAATGCATATAGAGCTCCAATTTAGCCAATCAGGACATGCCTCAGGAACCATGATTGGCTTAGAGGTCGTCACGTGACATTACACCAGACCAATGAAATTCAACTTTGTTACATTTACAAGTACACTTGGAGAAGAAAATTCTCTGCAGATTTTAAAGGTGGGTGGAGAGAGGTCTCTTGTTTTATTTCATTTGGCTGTATCAGAGATTGATTCTAGTGGCACTTTACCACTGAGCTAAAACATCAGCCTTTTTTGTTGTTTTTCGGACTGTTTTTCACTAAATTGACCCAAGCTAGGCTCAAATTTGGCAATCCTCCTGCCTCTACCTCCTGAGTAGCTGGGGTGACTGGGGTGCAGTAATGCACAGGTGACTGGCCCCGTGCTGGCCTCCTTCTTGCAACCCAGGACAACTGCCAGGTCTTGCCTTTATGATGTGCAGTTTTATTATTATATTTCATCTGTGTGTATTAATATTGTATGGTGATAGGATTTACTTTGGGAAACTGGTTCATGCACTCAACATATCCTAATTCCCATCTCCTTGCCTCTCCCTTACCTGCTTGCCCCTTTCCCTGGCTCCCAAAGTCTACTTCCTTGTTTCCTGGCCTCTCTCCTTTACCATTTATTTATTAATTTACATAATTTTTGGTTTCTCATAGAAAATATGAGACATTTAACCTTCTGCATCTGGCAGATTTCGCTTAATATTGGTGGTATCTAGTTCAATCCATCTTCCTGCCAATGATTGTATTTCATTCTTTATGGCCGAGTAATATTCCATGCACATTAGATTTTCCTTCCCCAGGCACCTGTTGGTGGGCTTCTAGGCTGATTCCTCCACTTAGCCATTCCGAATTGCTCTGCTAGGAATGTGGGACCGCATGTGTCCCTGCAGTATGCTGTCTTTATGCTTCTGGGAATACACTTCCCACATTCTTTAAATGCCTGCCACTGTGGGTTGGAGGAAGAATATTGGAGGGAGGAGAGGGGGCTGGGGAAGGAAGTTTGCAGGAGGGGCACATGGCCCAGGAGTCAGACAGAACTTGAGAGCCTCGGACTCTTCAGACTCAGAAGGAGGGAGTCAGCATCTTGCTGCATGGCGGTTTCTGAAGGGGGCTCCTTCCGCTCGCAGTCCGACCCTGCAGCCCGCACGCAGGCAGTGCTTGACCCAGTGCGTGCCTTTCCACTCTCACACTTGTCCCTTAAGACCTACACAGAGGCGGGTGGGTTGCCACACCTCGTTTCATTTCGCTAATTACAGAAGAGCAGCTCAAGGAGCCGGGGTTGGAATTGCTATCTGTTCCTGTGGTGCCCCTGAATTGTAAGCTGCGCCTCACACGCCTCTCTGCAAGACCTGGAGCCCAGGCTCAGACACAGAACCCAAAGGGAGGAGCCCCAGTCCAAGCCTTGGGGGGGGCAACCCTCAAATTCGGAGGGAAGGGGATGGGAAAGAGAGGGATAAAAGTGTTCACCTAAAAATGTATTTATTCATCGAGGCTTTAAAATAATATGTTGAATACATTAATCAATAACTAAATTTTGTTGTTGTAAGTGCTCTACACTACACTGAGCTATTTCCCCCAGTTCTGGCCTCCTTTCTTCTTCCCTCTTTCTTTCTTTCCTCTCCCCTTCCTCTCCTCTTTCTTTTCTCCTGATTTTCTTTCTTTTGTACCAGGAATTGAATTCTGGACCGTGAGCTTGCCAGGCAAGTGCTGTGCTGATCTTTCTCCCCACTCCCCTTTCTTCTTCAGAGGGGACTTGCTAAATTGTCCCGGCTGGCCTTGAACTGGAGATCCTCCTGCCTCAGCCTCCCAAGTAGCTGAGATTACAGGTATGCACCACCACACCTGGCTACGATACAGTGTAAATATCATAGTAAGAGTTCACCATCCACTGAAAACAGGAAAATAATAATAATACATTCTAACATGAAGATAATTGGTAACCCATTTAAAACATACCTATAACATTTATCTGTGCAAACACTAAAAAGAATGCATTTAAGACATTAAAACATTTAGTAAGGATCACAAGGATTCTTAGTTCTACCTCGATCGTGTTACTATTGAAGCAGCTAAATGTATCATGCCTGAGCCACCTCCAGAAATCACAGTGTGTGTGTGTGTGTGTGTGTGTGTGTGTGTGTGTGTGTGTGTGTAGGGGGGATTTGAGATCCAGAAACTCTGAAGCCCTAACTCTGCCCACATCTGGTTGTGGACTGGATTTAGGGATTAAAACTAAATAAAACAAAATAAGCAATATACTTTATCTTCGCTCCCTTTATTTCCTTTTTTGGAGTCCTGAGGGTTGAACTCAGGGCACCGAACTACATCTCTGACCCTTTTTATTTTGTGTGTTGAGGCAGGGTTTTTCTAAGTTGCAGAGGCTGGGCTCCAACTTGCAATTTTCCTGCCTCAGCCTCCCAGAGTGCTTGAATTAGGGGTGTGTACCAGCACATCTGGTTGCAATGTGCTTTTCTGCCCAGGGGCTCAGATCTGGTGCAGAAGCAGTCATCAGTAGAGACCGCCAAGGTCTGCGAAGGTCGTGAGGAAGCAGGTGGGTTTGTGCAGGGCCCCTCAGCCCGCAGGCATCCATGGGAACAGCTACGCAGGCTCCATCTTTCACGGGTCACTTATTCACTTGTTGAATTTATTCATTCATTCAGCCGATCTTGTTCACAAGCTGGAAACACAGAAATGAACAATGCAGACAAGGTCTCCTCCCTCTTCCATGAGTGGACCCTAGTGATGAGTCATCTGAGCGCTAGAAAGGTGAGAGAGATCTCATGGTGAAGAGGAGATAAATGAGGAGACACAATGGAGGAGGGTGAGGTTGGTTCCCAGGGAGGGTGCTGCTTGGATTCCTAGGTTAGGTAGTCGAGGAAAGCTTCTCGGAAGAGGTGACAACTGTCTTGAGGCTGGAGGGGTGGAGATGAGCACTGACGGGGGGATCTGGTAAAGCCTGCTGGCTGTGGTGCTACCCACAGCGATGCCTACCTGTAAGACAGGAAGCGGGAGCCAGGCTGGAGACTGGCATCTTTAAGGGGCAGTGAGCCTGCCCAGGGCTGCAGTGGACCACAGGTTTTGGGCTGTGGGATCCTATTGAGCCAAGTCCTGGTACCATCACTTACTATCATGTAATGTTGGTTGGGTTTATGTTTCCTGTTGGGACTCTGTTTGTTCATCTGAGAAATGGGGATGATGGCTGGGACCTGCATCTTATAGAATCAGTGGAGGTACAACAGTTTCCTTCAGTGGCACTTGGTACAGGGTCGGGAGCCTGGTGGCCCTCCTGCGGTTGACAGTTGTTCCTCTATTATTATTGCCAGTGGTCACATCAGTCTCCTTAGCCACCCAAATCAGTAGTTGTGGGCCCAGCCCTACTTCTAAATGAGGCTTTGAGCAATAAGGTCACTTGCGTTAGCCAGACTTTGCCTTCTTCTGTGCCCTTAGTTAGCCTCCTAGAGCCAAGGAGTGAGGTTTTCAACATCTTCCCCATAAATAAATGAGAAGAAAGCCATGGGTCGGCCCTGGAGGCAGCTTCCTTGCCACGGATAAGCAAGTAAAATATTTATGACACAGCCTCAATAGAAGGAATATTGTTCTGGGTGGATGAAAATGCTTCCTGTGTGTTCTTGTCTTATAGGCTGTCTTTTTCATCAAGAAAGATCTTACTACCTCCAAAGTTTCTCCGTAGTTCAGGTTGGCTTTGAGTGGACTATCTTAACTCAGGTTGGCCTCAAACTCACAGCGATCCTCCTGCCTCAGCCTCCTGAGAGCTGGCGTATCAGGCCTGCACCACCATGCCTGGCTCCACATTTGAATTTTAAAAGTCCCCTCCTCCCAGCAAAAGTGATTCTAATTTACCGTTTTGTAAATAAGGAAAGTAAGGCCTAGACAAAGGAAGTCCACACTTTTGGGCCCTGGATTCCAGCTCAGGGCTGGCTGGGATCCTGGCTAGCTGGAGAAACGCTGGCCTCTGCAATAGCTCTGGTCCCTGCAAGAAGTAGGAGACTGCAGCCCGGCTCCCACCCCCACTCTCACCCCACAAGTCACTTCCAAGGGTGGAGAAGCCTTTGAAGTCAGCGGTGACGCCGCCGTGGAGGGGTGGAGGGCGAAGGCTGCGAGTGTGGTGGAAGAGGTGAACACGGGGCCAGCCGATAAGCAGCCCAAACAACCGCGAGCGTCCTCCGGGCTGCAGCAGGAGGAGTTTCCGACGCCGGGTCCTCGCCTGGCTTTTGCTTAGTCTAGTTTTTAGGGCTATGAGAAATGATGCCCCCCGAATTCAGCTAAACCGGAACAGAAAAGAGTTTGAGCCCACAGTGGTGCACACGCTTTCCCCAGCATGAGTTCCTAGATTTCTCGCTTGGTGGCTGCTTGCTCTGGCTTCCTGTTCCTCTGTCTCTGCACATTGAATAAATCCACCTGGGCCCCGGAGCTCTGGCAGCTGCGTTTTGTGTGAACAGCTCTTCTCCCTGGAGCGGGTATAGCTCACATTGCAGCGCTGTGACCCCTCCTGGAAAAATCAGACTTACGGAGTAAATGAATTAAACCATGCACACTGCTATCTTTACATAGAGAAGACCAATTATTTCTATTACTAAAAAATACCTATTGTTTTTCCGTAGAGTCTGTCCAGAAGTGCACCCCGAGACAAGTATCTGGGAGTCTTGAACCTTTGTTTCCTTTTGTTTTGCTTAGGGGAGTGACCCTACTAAGCACCATTCAGGGAGCAGAGAAATTTCAGGGGGAGGCAGCCAGGACCAGATGTGTCCACGAGCAGCTTCCTGCTGTGGAAAACTGAGGTTCAGTCCTGTCAAGGAGCTCTGAGCTGTGATATGGAGGTGCTGGGGAGTTTCTTGCTTCATCCAAGGGATAAGAAGCTGGATACATCTCCTCCTGCCTTAGCCAATCACTGTCTGTGATTTCAGCAGGGTTTGCTCCACAGGACTTCTGGTCTACCCCCAAGAGCTGGGGCGGGTGAAGCTCTGGAATGAAGGGTTGTGATGCTGTCACTAGGAAATCATTGGTATGCACAGGGAGGGTGTGAGCTGAGAGCACAGGGGTCACTCCCAATGGACACTATGGCATCCATGGATTCACACTTACTTGTTTTGTTTCTGAGTGCAATTATGCATGTAAAATCTTGTATTTCATTATAAATTAGGAATAAGGCACATGTATTAATAGAAGTATTTACATAAATGTTCTGGGCTTCTAGATGAGTGGCTGGGATGAGATGTATTTCATTGTAGATTAAATAAATATGTGCAAATGTGACTGCAGAAATAAAGGAAATGTGAAATTAAGGAACATCAGAATTGGTGTAGATTTCTCTACCTAAATTGACAGGTAAGAATCTGGGTTGGGGATTCAGAGTTCAGGTCCCAAATCTGATATTTTTATGGCCTTCAACATATTGCATAAGACCTGGACCTTCAGGTTTGTCTTTACCTGTCAAATGGTAAAAACACCTGCCATGGACAGTTCTCATGAGCATTACATGATGTTATACATAGAGATAGTATGTAATTGTAGATTGTACTGTTTGTTTATAATTCTTCCAAGGAATGAGAAAGAATATTATTGGTGTAAGCCATTGAGGTTTAGGGACTGTTTGTTATGCAGTATTATCAGAACAATAACTGACTGTTGCACAATGTAAACCATTTGGCACAAGATCTAACACATTTCAGGTACTCAATAAGTAGCTATTATTATCCTTATTCTTGATGTCATTATTTTTTTCTGGGAAAAGGGAATGTGAGTTTATGCCACACTAGATGTTGAAGATTTAGATATCTCATCAGCAGAGTAAAGGCTTTGAAAAGTCCTGCATTTTTTAAAAAATTTAAAGTAAACTTCAATATTTTTTGTATAGTAAACACATATTTACACTTCTGAGAACAGTTCTGGAAATTTCAACATCACCGAAGCCCTCACATCTAGGATGAGAGTGTCCCAGAGTAGAAATTGCCTCTTCTCTTCACTGGTCTGATGAATGTACGATGAGCTTGGTGACAGAGGCTGAAACCTCAACCCTGGGGCACCACTTGCTTACACTTCTCAGCACCCCACTGGCCATGTGGGGACCTCGCTCCTTCACTGTTCTGGGGCTGAGAACCTGCCACATTCCGAGAACCTCATTCTGAGAACCTCACACATTCTCGGCAGGGAGCAGGGTGCTCTGTGATCCTGAGAGCGGCCGTTTGGTGTGAGTTACCATGTGCTGAGAGTCTTACAGCACATGGTAACTTCATTATCTCCACGGCTTCATACAGTCGGTGCCTTATTTAGCCTCACCTTATGGAGGAGGAATCAGGCTCTGAAAAACTACTGGCCAAAATTGAGTGATTCCTGACTCAGTTCATTCATGCTGCTATAGCAAAATACTCAAGACCAGGTAACTTATTTGATGAATTTGATCGAACAGAAACATATTCATTCAGTTTTGGAGGCCAAGAGGTACAAGATCAAGGCAGTGGGAGGTTTGCGGTCTGGTGAGGGTCCATTCTCTTCATTTCCAAGATGGCACCACATTCTTTTATTCTCTACGCATGGGAGTGGTGATCTCTGTGTCCTCGAGTAGTGGACTGAGGAAGGGCAAAGGGGTCCAGACAGTTTCTTCTAGGCCTCATGAATTTGCCAGTTCCATTCATGTAAGCTCTACCCTGATCACTTAATCATCTCCTAGAGCTGCCCCCTCACCCCTTCCCACCGTCACACTGGCGATCAAATTTCACTATGTGGATTTTGGAGGACCCAGGCCAACTCTATCAATGTCCCAGCTAATAAAGCTGTCACATAGCATAGTGGAGCACAGTTGTGAGTGTGTCTGTAGATGAAGGACATGTAGGTTGCAAAATGAGGAGGAAAGACCCACTCTGGGTGTGGGCGGTACCAACCAATAGGCTTGGAGCCTGGATGGAATAAAAAGGGAAAGAAGAAGGTCTTGCCTTGTGCTGTTTCTTCAGGGAAGATTTAGTCTTCACCATTATCATTACGTGTTCATCTCTGGTTTCTTCAGCCTTCCAATGGCTGCCCTTCAGTTTTCTGCCATGGATTCACACTGGACTTGCAGTGAGTTCCCGTCCTCCAGCCTCCAGCATTCAGAGGACTCCCCTACAATATTCCACCCCTGATTCTGCAGATGGACATTGTACACCTCCCTAGGAAATCCTTTGCATGAACACATACCTCTGTTATATTATGCTATGTGCTCCTCCAGGAAGCCCCAACTGGCACAGCAACATATACATGTGTTGATATACAGGCCTGCATGTACGGATTCTCTTACAGTATCACAAGCACCCACTCATGCTCACACACTCATTCACGTTCTCTCACATACACACACATACACACCCAAAAATGTCCACACACTCACTTGCACATCTACACTTACCCTTCTGTCATCCCCCCTGCCATTCTTGAGAAAGGATGATCAATTCTGTGTGTGGGGGGTGTTGAGTGATTTCTCGACTTAAAAATGGTCTAACTGGCACAAGGTGCTCTGGCTCTGCCTGTTCACCCCTGAGTGACCTGACTGCTTCTGAGAACACTGTATAGGGCCCAGAGAAGCCAGAGGACCTGCTTCATTGCTGGTGTGCATTTCATGGGAACCGTGGTGTCTAAGCCTCAGCCAGCTCCCGTGTCCTTCCTTGCCAAGGGCCCAGGTACCCTGTTACACAATGTTGAGGTGTAAGAGCTCCTTTCTTTTCCTTCCGAACCATCCGGGTGTCAGAGGGATGAAGCAGTGGGCACTGGTCTTGAGTCTTGGCTCAGGGGGCAGAGCACTCAGTGAGCAAGACCAAGAATGTGTGGCCTGGAAACCGGAGCTCCAGGATCAGACACCAGCTCTGCTCCTGATGTCCTGATACAAACTCGCACAGTGCTCTGCGGTAAGCTTCAGACCTTGACCTTTGCCTGGATCCTTCTGCATTCTTCCACCCCGGACTCTGCAGGCGGCCATTGTAAACTTACCTTGTGGAGGGTCCCCTAGTGAATCCTCAGTGATCGAATATATTACAGACATTACAATGATATGCAATAGTAGCAATGACAGCACGGAGCTGCCAACTAAATAGAAGTTCTGGTGTTTCCCCACAAGCCTTAAAGGATTGTTCTGGGCCCTCCAGTTCGTACCACAGCCCCAGCCATTGCTATGCAGTGTGGCCCCTGGACCAGCGAGTGGTTGCATCTCCTGGGAGTGGGCTAGAAATGCAGAATCCAGGCCAAGGTATCGCTCAGTGGCAGAGCACTTGCCTGGGGTGAGTGAGTCCCTGGGTCCATCCCCCGGCATCACACACACTCATTCACACTACAGAGACTCTTAGGGACCATCCCAGGTCTGCGGAGTTAAACTCCCCAAGCAACTGAAGGTATATTAAGTTAGGGAGCCACTGATCTCAGGAGCCTGCTGAGGGGGGATCCCTCCAGGGGAGGGCTCCTTATCTGCCCTATGGCTCCCTGTTACATGAGACTGGAGGAGTTCTTCTTGTGGCCTTGGACCCACCCAGCACATGGGGAACCAGTCGGACCTCTCTGGCACTTCGAAGGTTTCTGTAAGAGCTGCCACGGATCAGCCGGCCCCACACCAGCTTGCTGAATGCATCTCATTTGCCCTACGTACAGAAGCGCCAGCCAATTTGGAGACATCCCCAAAGAAAGGGTTTCTGGTCACCACAGTTGGAAACATGATTGTCAAGCAATTCCATAAATCTGTTTCAGCCATCCCTAGAGATTTTTTTTTGGAGGGGGGGAAAAAAAAAGCTAACATAACTAATTCCCCGGCTGTTTCTTGAAGTGGACTCAGATGGAAATAAAATCTTTCCACAAAGTGAGCGTTGGCCCCAATTCCTTGTTTCAGGTCCAAAAATGACTTTCCAAGTGCATGTTAGCAGAGCCCTGGCTGGAACGGGGGAGGGCAGGCCCATGGCCATCACTGGGGAAGCTCGCTAATTGGCCAGGCTGCACAAACATTATTTTTTAATTCTGAGAGTGGAAGCAACTATTAGAGAATTCATCAAACTCTAGACAGGAAAGGGGCTTGTTTTCCACTGGTCTGGCATTGCCCAGAGCTCAGGGCTAGGTTGTTACCTCCAGTTACTTGGAATGTAGTCAAGGCAGGCCTCTGGCTATCTCTGAAGGACTTCATGGAGCAGACAGGTAGGGTTGGTTGGCCAGGGCACTGGCCCAAGCCAAAACCTGTAAAAGGACTGCATGGATTTCCAAGTGGAGGGCTGGTCTGTGTCAGGCAGTCTCATGGTAGAATGTGCCTTTTGTCTTTTTTCATCTGTTTGCCTCCTTCATCTGCCATGTTGGAAGCCAACAGGGGCGGCTGTTCTTGTCCACTTGCTGTTACTATAATGAAATACTAGAGGCTGGGTAGTGTATAAAGAAAAGAACTCATGGTTTGGGAGCCTCAAGAGCATGGCACCGGCATCTGCTGGCTGTGGCTTGGTTGTTACACATCACATGTGACATCATAACGGGTAGGTGTCCAAGAGAGAGAGACCACATCACAGAACAGGAAGCCAGAGACAGACCAAGGAGAGGCCAGGATCAGCCTCCCGTTAGGTTCCACGTTTGTGCCACCCAGAGATCCAGGCTTCTAACACAGGTGATGTTAGGTGACAAACCACATCAACCCACAGCAGTGACATCATAGAGAGAGACCTCTCAGCCCTTTTGTGCCAGCCAGTTACCTTTTTCTCTCAAATCTATTTCTAGCCTTTCCTTAGCTCTCTTTGGTACATGGGAGGGTCAGCCGCTGTCACTATAGTGCCCAGCATCCCTTGTTCCTGGTTAGGTGCAACTCACAGGAGGCTCCAGCGGGGACCGGTAGATTGGAGGATGGGCTGACAGAAGATGCTGAGGTCATTCTCCCACATCTGCACTCTGACTCGGGGTCCTCTGTGGCCTGTCAGAGATTCCAGAGGTTGCCGTATTCTCTATGAATTTCTAGTTCTCTTCACGACCCAGCTCTCCCACCTCCGTTCATACCCCTCCTGCTTTGTCCCTCTTACTTTAGGCTCACAATGGCTCTCTGCTCTCCCAAATCTCTGAGTTATCTCCGATGCCCTATTTCTGCTGGTAGCTCCCCCGATATCTTAACAACTAAAAACCCATATTTCATCCATGCTCTTGAACCATTAGTCAGTGGCTCTGACTTCCAAACATGACACTGACTATTGGTATCTCTGTCACAACCCAAATGTCTATGTTGGAATACTGACTTGGGGTGTGATGGCATTAGAAGGCAGGAGCTTTGGAAACGATGATTTCTTGAGGGTGGAGCTGTGG